TCTGATCCACCAAGCACCTGAGTACTTTGCCTATTGTCATAGGTGATTAGCTAAAATGCCCACCCCAAGCTAAACTCAGCAACTTCACTCTAACTACGAAATGAATAAAGGAAGAGGAGGGAGTAGAAGAAGAAGTTGATAGATTAGGATTCGTAGTATTATTCATAAACAGTTGAAACAGGAAACATTAGAATCAGACAATTGAGATTTGTGGTTGAAGGAGGTAGAGGCAGCAGGACCAGCAGCAGCAGCAGCAACAGGAGTTGGCGCACCAGTGGTTGGTGCATCGACAGAGCAGCGTCACTCGTAAGCAGTTTTGAGCACCTCATCATGTAGTTTCCTCCCTCTTAATTGCTCGGTGGATGGCTTCAATGCCCCGGTACGAGGTTAAGGATTCTGGTGGTCAATTGGATGTTGGAGGGTGGATGGAGAGGTAGGAGAAGAGTGAGTGTCACTTGATATTAGAACGGTTGACAGGGAATTGAAGAGCTCACTCACTTGTCCATTTTCAACAGTACTGAAGCACTTGCAGTCCGGGGATCTGCCTTTCGCGTTTCTGCACTCATGGTAGAGGGCACGGACAAAGAGGAGTGCCTACTATTGACTTATTGGGAGTTGCTTCTGTGGCTTCGCATTTGCAGATCGTGGTGTTATGCATCGGATGCTGACATTGACCAATTTCAGCTTGAACTCCTGCTCTTCCGAAATGTCTGCCCGCGCAAGCTGCTGGATTTAGTTCAGTGCCAATGAAGAAGAAGAGGAAGAAGTAGTAGTAGTAGTAGTAGTAGTAGTAGTAGTAGTAGAAGTAGTAGTCGAATCAATTGGGAATTGAGAGTCAGTTTTATGTGCAGTTTATCTTCAGGAGTTGAGAGCACGTTGTGGGCACACTCTCAAGCACTCGGGAAGAAGATGTCAGGAAACCTGTCGCGTATTAGGTTCTTGAACCTCCGCACGTCCGAGTCCCGTCTTCCTTCCACCGTCACCACAAAGCACAGGTCACCATGCTTGTTTCGTCTTGCGATGGAGGTGTTAAGACGTGCTATGCAGCCGGTGAGGCGAGCAGCTCGACAGATGCGTCTGTCGTCGACGTCTCCGATCATATCAGCGTATTTGGCCTGGATCAACATCAANCTTCTCGAAGTGGAAGACTTCCACCACGTCGTTGAAGCGCACCACTTTCTTTGCTGCCTTTACGTCTCCTCTTCCACCAGTAGTGGCAGAATCACCTTGAGCAGCAAACGCACCGGCAGCTGTGGTGTTGGTGGCAGTAGTCTTAGTAGTAGAAGTAGCAATATTCGAAGGCTTTCGTGCATACATTTTGCGCTGTTCGGTTACCAATTTTGCAAAGGAAACTTCAGCCAAATGACTTCAGTTGTTTAAAATCGATCATTTTTTCATATGCGAACACGTGCTTCAAATTCAACGAAATTTGAATGCCATATATTGGCGCATCTTTTAACTCGTACTTGCATCCAAAATGTGACATTATAAAAGTAGAGTTTGTGAGAAGTCATCGGGAATCTTCATTTTCACCACTGTCATCCATTAGTAGCACCAATTGACCTGAGTTATTGCTCCATCTAATGTGCCAGTAACTGAGCAAATCTTGCAATTTTAAGAGTAGGAAATGAGATGTTGCTATGACCCCATTCAGTGAAGATTTCTACTTATAAAGTATTTGCAGTACTTAATTGAAATATCAGAAGGCTGTATCAAATCTGGATTATTGAAACAAGTACGCCTGACTACACCCGGTGGCTAATGAGACACAACTGGTTTTATAGGTTCTTACAGTAGGATTAGAAATACTTCATATTTAATGCTGAAATCGTTTTTGCGAATAGCAATGTGGTTCCCTAATACTTTTCCACACTCACTATTTGCTAATAATAATACGGTAAAATATAAATGGGCATTATCATTCGCGAAATATATATGGCCAAAGGATATCTAGTTTGCTGCAATAAATCAAAGACTTGATCTTATTTTTATTAGCGTTTTTAAGTAATAGTGGTCGATTAAAATTTGTTTACATCTTTTAAAGTGATTTACTCAGCGCACGGCACTACTTTGAATATGTAGCGGATTGGTAGCATTTTGGCACGAACTTATCAAGATATCATCGACGAAATAAATTCTCCTTGTTGTATGCACTTCTGAGCAACTTCGAAAATCATCTGATTCAAAGTTGAATAGTGTTTGAAATTATGCAAAAGTAAAATGAATATTTTCTATTGATAAAGTGGTATTTTATCTATTTATATGATATGTAAATATATATACTATAGAGTAAGGCGTTTGTTGTTTAATATTTTGAGCAAGTGATCAATCCATAACATGTCAACCATGTTATTGCATTTAAATGGGAACTCTCGACAGAGGCCTAAGTCCAGATTAAGGAACTTTTGTCCATGGACCTGTATTTGGGTATTATTAGCTGCAACGAGGGAGGTCCTGGTGGCTTGAGTATAGCGTTATTTTGTAGACCGTGGAATAACACTGACTTCGGAACCTGTGTCCACCAAAAATGTAAGTTCGGAATTTTTGTCTGTAACGTATAGCAGGCGACTAGGGAATCTGCCAGAATCAGGCGTCGCCTTTACTGTCTGGCGTGTTCTTTTCCCGCCGGACTGCGTTGTTGGCGTTTAAGGTGTTGACACCAAGGAGTACATTTTTTTGCGTTATCTCCGTAGGTGCGATGATAAT